GGGCCCCGGCCCCCGGCGCGGGGCCGGGATTCCCCAGTGCGGGGCTGGCAGCCCCGAATCTCTGCTTAAACAGTCGCACCCCAGCTAAGACCTGATGCTGACCTTCCTGCATACAGCCCCTCCCTCTCCTTTGCCATTACGAGGTCTTACACGTACATCCTGACTTATTTTGGAGAAACTAATGAATTAAAAGGGGAGGGAGGTCCCTGTGAACTCTCGCACTGGATGCAAGGTGTAGCTTTCGGTGAATGGATTCACACGCCCGAGCATCGTTTTTCCTAATTTGATGAGCTCGGTAGGTCCTGTGCCGAGCGCCAGCGATTTCCCTTGTGTAAATTTTTTAACCATCCTATTAGGGCTGTTCTCAGTGGAAGGAGAAAGTTTGCAAGACTGGGCCAACGCTGTTTTTAGGGCTCAGGTTTCCCGGATTTGCATTTCCTGTCGCTCACACTGCTGCACGGTTGTTGGGCAGTCAAATCTAGATTCTTTTTTTTTTTTTTCTCATTCAGCCTCCTACAACCCAGCATGCAGCCAGTTTGGTGTGGGGCCCGTGCGGCTCCCCGGCTGCACCGAGCAGGCCTTGGCTTCAGACTAACAGCCACGTCAGCGCATAAACTGTGGCTCAGGACTGCACGTGGCATTTGGGAGTGGCCTGTATGTAGCTTAATAGTACCCGGGCGAATGAAATTGGAAGTCAGAATTGTGATTTTTGTCGAGCTGGAGTTCTCATTTTAGAAGAAGCAGAAACCTTCATGTGGAAGGCTATGTTTTTCGAGGGTTCTGCATTGGGTAGGCTTGAGGCTGTAACTTCTTCCTGGGTGTCCCACTCCTGGAGTTCTGCATGTGCTGGATTCCCTAGCCCAGGCTGTATTTTACCAGCCTTACCTGTCATGAATTCAGCAGGTCTTTACAACTGGGTGGTAAAGTTCAGTTTCTTTTCTGTACCCCAACCCCACCACCGCCCATTTTTTTTTTTTTTTATCTTCAGGGTTATACTGGCGAATATGGCATATGGATCTTATTCAGTCTGCTGTTCTGTACAGCGTGATGACCCTTGTAAGCACGTATTTGGTAGCCTTTGCCTACAAAAATGTGAAATTTGTACTCAAGCACAAGTAAGTAAAAGTATATTTCTTAAGTGAAAGTATGATGCATTTTTATATACCAGACTGTCTTAAAGACCATTTGTGTTTGTGTTGGTTTCAGTAATTTGAGATATATATGTATCTGATTTGGGGGAAGGCACCTTAATGCTCTGAAGAATTATTAATTTACTCAAAGCAGAGGCAATGCTTCTGACATTGCTGTGAAAGTAGGTTTGTTTTTTTTAAATTAAATCTTTAATTTTTAAATTTATTCAATTGTTCCTCTTTTTTCC